GCCATCCCCCCCCCCCCTCCCCCCCCCCTCCCCCTCGCCCGGGGCAGCTGCGCCTCCGGCTCCGCGAAGCCGCCGGGCTGCCCGTTCCCGGAGCGCTCAGAGTGTCATCTGAAGTCTCTGCCGCCTTGCCAGCATTTCTGGAGAACGCCCGCTGCGCTCCATCTGTGTTTGTTTAGCCTCAGTTTACACAGAAGCCCAGTTCTCGAGATCAGTCAGCGCCGCCGCCCGGAGAGGAGGCAGCTCCCGCCGCCGCCGCCTCTCCAGCCCCGGCCGCCCGAGCGCGAGCGCCTTTAAAGAAACAGGAAGCATTTTTCAAAACAGCTGGGCTGCGGGCCGCCTCCTTTGTCCGCGTGCTCTCTGCCTCCCCCCACCCCCATCGCTTCTGCCCAGAACCTGCCTCCTCCCGCTTGCCCTCCCCGCCCCCTGCTCAAGTCAGGGGCGCTTCTTTTCCCAGCGGAGAGCGTGCTCCCTGCACAGCCGCCCGAGCACGTGGCTTCTGGGCCCTTCGGCCCTTCCCCAAATCACAGCCAAGCTTCTCTACCCGGCCTCCCTGGCCTCTTGGTGAACAGCGCCGACCTTCCTCACCTTCTCGTTCACCCCTCCACCCCACCTCGCCAAAGGAGAGAAAAAAACCGGGAGCGGCGACTTCTGGGGGGTTGATGAGGAAGGGAAGGTCTCGACCCTGGAGCGGGGAAGCCAAGAGTAGGAGTGGGCGTAAGCGATAGGGAAACTGAGGCTCCAAAAGCGGATGTGCTTTCCCAGAGTCACACAGCGAGTCTATGACGCAGAGGAGGACGGAAGCTGCGAATTTAGACAGACCTAGCATCTGTGAAAATCTGGTCAACTCACTCCAGGCACCCTGCTAAGCCCGGATTTTCTCATCTATGAAATGAGAAATTCGGAGAAGCTCAATGCCTAAAGCACAGCATTGCTGTGGGGAATTAGACACCATGCACATAGGAGGTGCTAGTCAAATGGTAGCTGTGGTCATTATTAATAACAGAGGCAGAACAGCTCCTGGAGGCAGATTTTCTGAGTTCAAACCCCAGCTCTGCCACTTCCTGAGTGACCTTGACAAAGTCACTTACCTTCTGTGCCCCCCTTTCCTCACCGGTAAGACAGGGATCATAATTGTACTTTCCTCCCAAGGTGAAGATTAATTGAGCATACATGCACAAAGCACTCAGAGCAGTGCCTGGCACTAAGTGAGAGCTTTACAAGTGCCACTGCTATTGGCAAGAGACAGAGGTCGACTCCCCAGAACCTTGGTCCTCTGTGCCATTCCACTGAAAGAGATCCTGGAAAGAAAAGGTCAAACCAATAGGCCTGCACACATCCTCCCCAGAGGCCCACCTCACTGCCACTGCCCTCGGAGGACCAGCACAGGGCTTTGCTCCTCACCGATGGAGTGGCAGTTCCTCCTGGAAGCAGGTGGGTGCTAAAAGTCCAAAAGGTGAGTTTGGGAGAAGATGCACCCTTGACCCTGGACTTGAGCTCTGGTAAAAATGCAAGAGCCCACACACAGACTGGAGTGCCCTCTCTCCTCCAGGAGAGAATGCACTGCGGGTGCAGAAGGGAGATGGCATGCAGGATCCTAGAAAGTGGTATCTGTGCAGAAGGTTTGGGCCAGGAACTTGGAGCTAGGGCCAGGAACCTGGGTTGGGTCTTGCCTTTACAAATATCGAGCCCCATGACTATAAGCAAGGTATTTCATCCGACGGGGGCTCTGTTTTCTGTCTTTAAGGATGATATTTCTGTCCAGCCAACGTCTCAGGGTAGTAGGGAAAGTAAAAAGAGATCATGAATGTAAAAGGACTTTGTATGCTTCAAGCACACACACACACACACACACACACTAAGGCATGCAGTTTTCTCACTGTAGTAAATGTGAAACCTCATTTTTTCCACTGAGATGAATGCCAGCATCATAAAGCATGTGCTCCCCAAGGCATCCCCTTCCTTGGACATCTGCACCTTATCGCCGTCGTGAAGACCAAGGTTGTGCCCCAGAGAGGAGCACACTCCTGCTGTTTCCAAACCCAGCCTGAACCCCTAAAACCCTGGCCTTTGCTCATAGGTCTCCCACATCTCCCCCCTACAGAGCACACTCTTCCCCACTCTGATGACAGGCTCCAGTCCCCTGCTCCTGTAAGCCTTCACTGATCGCCACAGCCTCCTGTTGCTCTACTGGCCTCTGCACCTGCTTGCTCGCAAATATTACTGCAACTTATCTGTCACTACAGACCTGATGGACCCCCTGGTTTGTGAGCTCCCAAACGGCCAGCTCTTGCCTTCTTCCCTGTCTCTAAGAGTTGGTGCCCAGGAAACGTTTGCTGAAGGACAACTGATCCTCATGCCCTTTACATTTTTGTCTGGAGACCCCAATCCTGTGCATCCAGCCAGTCAGTGGCAGAGATGAGGGGAAGCCCCACTCTCCGGAGCTGCTAACGTACTCTCTGAGACTCAGTTTCCTCTTCTGTAAAATGAAGGTAGTAATAGCATGCCTCAGGGGTGTGGGGATTAAATGAGGCTGCACGCACAGCGTTTAGGACAGTGCCTAAAACAGAGTGAATGGTGGCCTGAGGCATTCTGGGTCAGTGCAGCTTCCCAGGCCCCCTGGCACCCCAAGATCTGCCCCCAGACTCGGGGTGCAGTTGAAGACTGGGGTGCGTGCCCATGGCTAGTTGGGGTATGTAAGAAGTCTCTGACAGGACTGCATATCATCCCTAAAGAGGCTAAGCTGTGTCCAGGAAAATCACATCTTTGTTGAGTCAAGAAGAAGGTCACTGACAGCCCATAGGGTGGGAGAAGGGGAAGGGTCAGCCAGCTGGGTGGAAGTAGATCAAAGCTCAGAGCCAGGCTCCAGGCTCCAGGCTCCCAAGACAGCCCCTCACCATGCTGCCTCTCCTGCTGATCAAATGCTGAAGCCCTCGAAGTTGGAAACAGGCAAGCTTAGGAGGGATCTTCACTTTGTCACTTACCAGCTGTGTGGCCTTGAGCGACCTCTTCACCTCTCTGGGCAATATCCCGTTAGTCATAAGATGGAATGGTGTGAGGGAACAGGAGGCAAACTGTAAAGAGCCCAAGTGATGTGAAGGGTCCCTGTTCTCGCCATTCTCAGCCTGCCAGGTTGCAGTCCTTCAAGGTCCAGGCCAGCTGTCCATGCCTGCTAGTCACGGGGGTCAAACCTGTCTCCCTCCCAGGGCTCTTAATTCTGCCTTTTCTCAGCCTCCCTGAGAAGCCGGGCAGGGAGACCAGCTGGGCAGTGCCCCCTGGTGGCCTGACACTGCCAGGACGGCACGCAGCATTGCAGTCTACCCACAAGGAACTTCTGCAGATTTTGGACCCAGGAGTGGTGGTCTTGCAATGACAGTAATATGGGTTTGATGAATTCATAGAGTTGCCAGGATAAAAAGGCTCTTGAGGCTCCTCCCTCCTGCCTTTGGATGGAATAACACAGACACCCCAAGAAAATCTATGCCCTTCATTAAAAAAATCCCCTACTGAATTAGCTTTTTGAGGTTACCCTGGAATTGCATAATGGTACCACTGGAAGTTTCCATATCCCCTGAATGGCTGGTGCAGAGAACAGCAATGAAGCTAGAAAGGGATGGAAAGAGCTTAGGGCTTAGGCGACTGGGAACAGGTGCTAGAAAGCCAGGCAATGACAATTACTACTACGCAGGGAGTGATCAGAGGCTCTATTTCACCAATCCTTATGATCCAGGGAGGTGAACCCATTATACATATAAGAAAACTAACGCTCCTAGAGGACAAAACTTGCCAACAGAAAGGCAATGACAGAAGTGGAATTTGAACCGAGG